CCATAGGTGCACAGTTTATGTTCAGTCTCTTCCTCCCTCCCTCCACCCCCCCCCAGAACAGTCAATCCACTCCCCTCCCATATCGACTCTACTACAATGAACCGCTATTATTGTTCATCAGGTTTTTCAATCTTCTTTTGTTGTTGTTATTGTTGTTGTTGTTGTTTTTAATTAATAAACTTTTACACTTCTAAGAATAAATTTTAAAATCTAAATTTTAAACCTTGTTTTTTTCTGCCCTGGGAATTGAGAGCAAACTTGTTTACATGTAAACTTGCCCTTAGGCTATCAAAAGGGGTAGCCATTCAAGTGTAAATGGTCACATTGTTAAAACATAGCTGCTGGTTGGAATTGGATTACCTGTTCTGGGTGGGAAGGACTTATCATTCCCTTTCTCCATTAAAATTAAGGTGTTAGCTTTAAAACCTCTTTTTGGCAAGAGACCTTAAACTTTCAGAACTTTAAATTTTTCAGATAGTAAATCAGTTACTTAGATTTTCTCAAATCAATAATACCTCTACATGCCCAAGGATACACTTCACACAAAAGACACTTCCAAATAGATCAACCAACCTCATCCAGGCTCCACACAGGCACTCACAAATCAACACCCCAGCGCTATACTAACTCAACACATCCAGATCTAAGCCTTCCCCATTTAATTCAGCAGACCCTCAAGTTCCCCTAAAAGTTTCCAGCAATGTCTGAGAGGCAGCCTTGGGGCGGAGCCAGGCGAGGAGCGAGCTGTTCCGGGCCTGGCTGCTCCGGGCCTGGCCTCTGTTGCTCTGGTCCGTTCCACAACCAGCTGCTCTGGGTCTGGTCACTGCCGCTCCCGACCTGGCTGCTCCAGGTGTGGCTGCTACTGCTCCGGGCCTGGCCGCACCCGACCCAGCCGTACCCGACCCGGCTGCTCTGGGCCCGGCCGCTCCCAGCCTGGCTGCTGCTGCTCCGGGCCTGGCTGCACCCAACCCGGCTGCTCTGGGCCTGGCCACTCCGGGTCCGGCCGCTCAGGGCCTGGCCACTCCTAGTCAGGCAGCTGCTGCTCCGGGCATGGCTGCACCCGACCCGGCTGCTCTGGGCCCAGCTGCTCCGGGCCCAGCTGCTCCGGGCCTGGCCGCTCCCAGCCTGGCAGCTGCTGCTCTGGGCCTGGCCACTCCCAGCCTGGCTGCTGCTGCTCCGGGCCTGGCTGCACCCAATCCGGCTGCTCTGGGCCCGGCTGCTTCGGGCCTGGCCGCTCCCAGCCTGGCAGCTGCTGCTCCGGGCCTGGCCACACCCGACCCGGCTGCTCTGGGCCCGGCCGCTCCAGGCCTGGCCGCTCTGGCCCCAGCTGCTCCGGGCCCGGCCGCTCCGGTCCTGGCCACTCCCAGCCAGGCAGCTGCTGCTCCGGGCCTGGCCACTCCCGACCTGGTTGCTCCAAGCATGGTTGCTGCTGCTCTGTGCCTGGCTGCTCCCAATCCGGCCGCTCTGAGCCTGGCAGCTCTCAGCCTAGATGCTCTGGGCTTGGCTGCTTATGTTCTGGGTCTGGCTGTTCCCCACCCAGCTGCTCTGGGCCCGGCTTCTCCGGCCCGGCCACTCCGGGTCTGGGTGTTCCTGGACTGGCCACCCTGGGCTCGGCCGCCTCCGCCTCAGGCCTGGCTGCCACTGCCCCAGATCTGGCTGCTCCAGGCCTGGCTGTTGCTGCTCTGGTTCTGACTGCTGCTGCTCTGGGGCCTGGCTGTTGCTGCTCCAGGCCCGGCAGCCACTGCCTTGTGCCTGGCCACTCTAGGCCTGGCCGCCACTGCTCCAACATTCTTTCCTTTTTTTTTTTTTTTTTTTTTCAAACCCTTGTGTCGAGGGCTGACTTTCACCTTTTTTTTTTTTTTTTAATGCATTTATGTTGCAATGTTGGCTGCTGAGTTGAGTTCTGACTTAGTCTTCGATTTTTTTAAGATCATCTTTGTATTCTTTCTTAAGTAATTTTACTATCTTTTGCTCTCACTTGATTTCTTCACATTGAAAACTTCTTCGGTTTCTTCCTCCTTGTCCTGGAAGCTCAGCAGATTGGCCTGTGGCACCCCTTTGTTCTCCACGGGCTCCTGTGCTGCTTCAGCCTGTTGCAGGGGTCGGCGCCGCCCAGGAAGCAGCCCCCGGCCTCGGCTCTGTGGCCCGAGCTCAGCGGTCGAAGGCTCAGGGGCACCCTCCCCTCCAGGGGCCCCGTCGCCCGGCTCCTTGCTGGTGCCCGGCTGGCTGGTGTCTGGCAGAGGCTCCTGCTCCTAGTTGCGTTCCTTCAATCTGGAGCTTTTTTTCTCCTTCCTGCTAGGGGCGTCTAGCATCAGAGTCAACAGACTGTTCTCTGCACGCAATGTGCACGACTCCGGGGGCTCGCTTTTCGACACTCCCCCAGGACTCCACCTCACAGCCCCGTCTCCCTCTGCTTGAGCCTGGGTCCCCAGGGATTGGCCTAGAACTGGGGTTCAGAGCAGTCGGGAGTGGGGCTCAGCACCGCCGGAGGTTTTGTTTCTTCCTGCCCGGGCAATCCAGCATCAGAGTCAACATTCCGTCCTCTGCGCGCAATGTGCGCTACTCTGGGGGCTCTGCTTTTCGCCGCTCCCCTGGGATTCTGCCTCACAGCCCCGTCTCCCCCTGCCTGAGCCTGGATCCCCAGGGTCTGGCCCATAACTGGGGCTCAGCGCTGCCGGTTCTGGGGTTCAGCCCAGGCCGGGTTTTTTATTTCCTTCCTGCTAAGGAACACCAGGCAGGCACCCAGCCTTCTCCTCCTCTCTGGCTGCGTCCTCTCCGCCCGCGTGTGCGTGCGGTCGTGCTCGCAGCATGTCTCCGTACCTTAGGATTTTTCAGCTCCTCTGTTTTTCCTTCTGGTTTTCTCTTTCCTTCTTGTTGTAGAATTTTCAGTCATTCGTCTACCTGTAGCTCTGGGCAATGTCCACTCTACATTTTAGTTGTATTCCATTGAAATTGTTGTGTGCTGCTGCAGTTTGGTGTCTACCTGAGCAGCCATCTTGGATCCTCTCGGGTGTATGACTATTGGTAGAGGGAGAAAGTGGGCATGACTAAATGGATCTTCTATGGCCCTATGAGTTATCCTTTTCTTGAAAGTTCCATCCTGAGCACTGGGACCTGGACAGCAGGTCCAGAGGACTCCCCAGGCTGAAGGGCTCCAGGGGTTAGGCTGCGGGAAGGCTGTGAGCAGAGAGGTGTGTATTATTTTTTATTTCAGTCAGTGTATGTTTAATTTCTAGTTGGTCCTTTTTCATATCCTCGAGGATCTCACTAAATTTATCGGCCTTTTCTAGAAAATTCTAGAAAAACTTTATAACTGTGGTTTTGAACTCTATATCCAGTCGTTTGCTTTCCTCCATTTCTTTAATTTTTTACCTGCCTGGGGCCATTCAGCATTGGCTACAAAGTGATCTGCCTATGGCTGTTACTTGTGGTGAACTTGGATTTGCCCAAGCAAGGCCATGTTGTAAACCAAGGCCAACTGCTGCTAGTGCCATGCCTGAAACCAGTGAGAGGTACAGAGCTTGCTGAGGCCAGATGCTGCTTGTTTGAGAGATTTTAGGAAAATCTGAAACATGAGCCAAGATAGATCATTTGTGTGGAAAAGCCACTGGGAACAGCTTGGGTGGATCTGAAAGTTGGGTGGCCTTGGCCTCAGAGAATCACCATGATGGGGCAAACAGTGTCTTTCAAGCTGCTGCTCTAGTGCTTGAGCTCAGAGTGAGTCTATTTAAGAGGGACTGCTTGGGACTCTAGTAGCCCTTCATCTCACTCAGCCTCAATATCTGCTGTTTTTTTTCAGCTAGAAGTTATGGGGACTTCTCTTCCTAGCATGGAACACTAGGATGAGAGGACTGGGATCTTGGCTTCTTAAGGGAGACCTCTGCAGCCAAGATATCCTTCGCAATTTTTATCCACCAAAGGTGGATATGGGACTAACCTATTCTGCATCTCCACCCTATCTCCTAGCCTTGATGCAGCTTCTTTAATTCCCTAATTAAGGCCTTCTATTTGGCCAGATTTCAAGAGGTTCTGAATGATGGTTGTTCTGTAGTTATTTGTAATTTTGATGTGGTTGTGGGAGAAGGTGAGTATTGCTGCCATCTTGACTGACGGCCTCATGTTATAATACTTACAATAATTTATAGTAACAAATTGCATGTATCCTGTAAAGGTTTTATTATTTACCTTTTTTGAGAAATTACCCTGAGATTCGGTTACAAAGAGGTGGTGAAGATAAATATTTGGTAACAAAATATAAAAAAATATAAAGGCAATTTCTAATTCATTATTATTGTTTTTCAAGCTCATTAAGGTACATTGTCAATAGAAGCATGTTATAATATAGAAAGTTCTCAGGCTAGCTCATGAACATTTAATTATCCTATGAGACATATTAAGTATGTCACTTAGAGTACTAACTCAGTATGCCTAACCACCACATATAAAGTGTGAGTAAATACATTTGGATTTTCAAATTGAGAATATTTTGACTTAGCAGTGGAGTGGTGATGGCTCTGGATTTCTTCATTTGGTAGATTTGGATTGGAGGGGGATGTTGACCCTGAGCAGCAATACTGTAATTCTCCAAGTGTTCAGAACTGGGAAGGTTGGTGTGGTGTAAAACAGTTGCCTCCTATTGCACTATGTATGGGCTTTGCATTCATTGGGAAGTACCTATGCTATGATATTTTTAGTCTTTGCTTTCATAAAAATTAGTCCAAATAGTATTCAAAAGAATTTTCTATGAAGCTGTAGTTGAAGATAGAAGAACTTTTTAGAGGAAGAAGAGCTATGTAGATTCTGAAAGAAGCATGTGCTCATGAAGCACAATAGTATTGTGAAATGAAACTTGATATTTTTGGGGGGCAATGCATATTTTTAGCAATTGGATATTTTAAGAGTACTTATTTAATAACTTCTTAAGACATTTTGAGTAAGATAAAAATAGACATTTAAAAAATCATTTTTTGTTGTTGTTGGGTGGGGGAATTACTTGTAAGGTCTACACAAGTCCTTCTATGTACTCTCTGGATCGAGTAGTGGCTGGATTTCGAACACGAAGTCAAATCCTGCTGGGTCACATAGAAGAACAAGATGAAGTCCTTCACTGCCAATTTTCTGATAACAGTGATGATGAAGAATCAGAAGGCCAAGAGAAATCTGAAATTAGGTATGTTAAATATAGACTGGTTTAATAAACACATAATTTTATGATGCAATAAATATATATAGATTTTTTTTCATTAAAATATATCTTTTCTATTGAAATAACAGTAGGTAGTTTTTGATAAATGTGCTGTCAACTAATGCATTATGAAACCAGTGTTTGAACACAGTCATCAGTCTTAAATTAAAAAATAATTTTGCTTTTAGAGCTTATATATTTATTGGATATTAATTTTCAGGGAGAATGTTTTTTAATTTCCTGATTTTGCTACCACAGTGGCAACAGATATAAGGCTCAACATGGATGGGAATGTTAGTAAAATTCTGTTTATCTTATACAGTATAATTAATAATTCTTTTAACAGTATAGTCACTTTTTGGCGAAACTAATTTGAGGGCAGATTAGCAAACACTAACAGACAAGTTACCTTTGATCCTGATCTTTGTTTTTTTAGACATAGAAATCACTCACGGATTCAGAAGCCAGGCTCTGTTTGTTCTCTTATTGAATTGAATGATATTCATGATCAAACACAAAAGTCAAGTTTGAGGAATGAAGGTACACAGACTTTAAGTAATTTATATCTAACGTTTATAAGACACTTCTCTTTTTCTTCAGTCAATTTAAGAAGCATCTAGGAATTCTCAATGATGGAACTTGAAAGGAGTGTTTTTCTCATTGGTAGAACTTTCTGTATGTTCTGTGCTCTACTTCTAATTTTTTCATTCATTTTTACTCCTTAATAATAAGTTTTTTCCCACCAAGCAATTCTGGCTAGAGTTACAGGCTAAATCTCTCAGAAGGGGGATTTTATGCTCAAGCCCAAGTTGCTATGCACTGTACTACTTTAAAATGTATCTTATGTAATTTACTAGGTGTCTGCTTTCCTGCTTCATTGGCACACATGCTTACCATTGGAGCCAAATATCTGTGGGTGCTTATAATATTCTAACACACATTATTTGGTGCATAACAGCTTAAAATGTTTATGTTCCAAAAATTATAGTAGGAAATTTTAACTAGTTTATATTGGCCTATGAGTGCTTAAAGCACAAAAAGTAAGAGTATAGAGAATATAAATAACATGACAGATAAGCCCTATGCTATTATAATAAAATAGTCTTTTTAAAGTGGTTATGCATAAATATTTAACAAAAATTTACCTATATGTCACAAATAAATCTTAAGTAAATTAAAAAATGTGTAAGAAATATAGATAAGTACTAGTCAAATTGCCATTCTTGAACTGTTTGTTACTGATCTACAACCAAGAAAGAAACTATGCTGGAATGTAAATCAGTGCACTAGCTCCTTCACTGAGGAAGTCTCCTTATGAAAAGAAAGATAAGCTGAACTTAATCTTTAATGGTCACATAGTTTATTTATGTTCTAGTGTAAGATAAGAACAAACAGTGCTGGCCCACATTCTAGTAGTCTGGTGTAGACTAGATCTTTTATTACCAGAAGACTAAAAGTTAATAGGAAAATTTCACTATACCCACCTGGAGATTTTATACCTTTCTTAAATAACTCAAGTAAAAAACTCAAATTGCAGAATATTTAAGGGCAATGAAAAACTATCAGAACTGTATGGGATACGATGAAAACATATATAAAGACACTTACTGTAAACTAGAAAACTAAAATCCCAATTTCCGTGTATTTTTTCCTTTCCTGTTTCTGTCCCTTCCTCTGCTCTCTCTAGACACCTTCCATGTTCACTTTTCTTCTTTTAGTTTCATTTCTGTTGAATATTTTATAAGGAGATAGTTTTATTTTCCAATTTTGTTTCTTTTATTTTAAAGATTTAAAGATTGAATGTCTTCAGGAGAGTCAAGAGTTGAATTTGCAAAAACTAAAGCATTCAGAACTCATACTTACTGAAGCTAAACAAAAAATAAGAGAACTTACAATTAACATCAATATGAAAGAAGATCTGATTAAAGAATTAGTGAAAACAGGTAATAATACCCTATGAACCAGCTAATATAGGAAAGAAAAATTTCCAGAATTATTTCTGATGTGTAACATTTACTTTAGTTTTTGATGCTCAGGACATTCCACTGTAGTTTGGCATTTGGTATAATAAAGTGTGTTTGGTAGCCAATATGTGGAGATTAGTTATTAAAAGAACTTTGTTATACTGGGATTCATCTATGAATTTTTCTAACGAGTTTGCTTTCTGTGCTGTGATAAAATTCTGTGGCACATCCATTTTTGCCACTTTCAAAGAAATATTATCCTAGGCATTTGGAAATATGTCTGGGATGTTTTTCTAATTCATTTTAATAATAATTTATTTTCAATTAATCTATTTTTGGATAGTTCATTTTTAACAGTAATCATAAACTTTATATTTTAAATGTTAATTTTTTTATTAAGGTATTATATATGTACATATAAATGTAGTTAATTTTTATTTCTCTAAAGATGTAAGGAGTTATTCTTAAGAGCTGTTCTCTTGAGCAAGCCAAGCTTTTACCTCTGACTTTTAGTTTCAAATTTCTGCCACGTTGGTTGTATGTGCCACACCTTCTCCTCACCCTCAGCTACATTAGACTTGCCCTAAAAGTATATCTCATGCTTTTTGCACCCTCTCCTGCCCCAAATATACTCAAAGTATGAGCTTTGACTACTTAGAAATTCAGTTAAGAATTAGAGGAATAAGAGACACTAGTGTTCTTTTCCTCAATTCCAATGAAAAACAACTCTCTGGTCACATATAGGGGAACTGAAGGAAATATTATCTTTCTTTTCTTTAAGCCCCTGGCTACACTCACACCCAAATTACAAGAATTATGATAGGCTGAAACTGGTTTGACTCAGTGGATAGAGCATTGGCCTGCGGACTGAAAGGTCCCAGGTTCTATTCCAGTCAAAGGCATGTACCTTGGTTGCAGGCACATCCCCAATAGGGAGTGTGCAAGAGGCAGCTGATCGATGATTCTCTCATCGATGTTTCTGGCTCTCTGTCCCTCTCCCTTTCTCAACAAAAATCAATAAAATATAATTTTAAAAAAAATTATGACGGGTCCCAACTCCTCTGCCCATTTTTCTACTTCCCCCCTTTTTCTTGCAAACTTGCTTTCTGGCTGATGGTCCTCCTTTCTAAACCGCCTCACCCTGCTCCTGTCCCAAACCATTTCCTTCCTTATTCCTGGCGACCTCTATGCTGTGCATCATCCCAGCTCCTGGCAGTCTCCCCAATGTCTAATTGAGTTTGAGTATCTTCCTTCCTCAGAGACAGGATCACTGCCAGGAAAACTCTCTTAGGAGTATCCAAGAACTGATTTAGGGGGTTAAATAGCTTCTCCGTCTCCAAGATTTCAGGGTACTGCTGTGGTAGTTGAGGATATTTACCCTTCAGGTTATCACACCATGGGGTATCGCATCCTGGATGACTTAGTATAGAGGACACCTGAACTTACACAGAGAAGGTCCTCTTCTTACTTGTTAGAACCACAGACAGTTGGGAGCTTTCCAAAGGACCCTAGGGATGGTGACTAGCAAGAGGGTCAATGTGTGCTTACTTTTCAAAGGTGCCTCTATGATTTCTCCTGAATAGCAATTACTTCAGATAATAATAACTATACTGTATTTCATCAACTCTGATACATATTTTTCACATTTTAATATCTCTAAAATCAGGATGTATGTCATAATCATCGGCATCTTAACACATTGTCATGTCATTGGTTAATTGGCACTGTGCCTTTTTTCTTAGTTTATAAAATATTGTTGTGTTGAATACTTTAGAGGGCCTTAGATTCACTAAAATATAGTAGTTGTATGTATTTTAAAGTTAGTCAATTTATCACAGAGTTGCAGAGCCAGTGCATTTAATTCAAGAACTTCTTTTTATGAAAATATTAAGAGATTTTTCAGTATAATAGTATGAGAAACTGTCCCTGGAAATTATTCATCCCAGGACCTCTGGTCTGTTACTTAACACTGCCATGAGTTTGCTAATCTAGTTTTTAGGTTTAGTAGCTGAGCTTAGAATGAAAAGAGATATGGAAATATCTTACTCTGTTTTTCTCTGTGTTCTAAATATTTGTAAGAGAAGCATTGAGTGATAGAAACATCAATGATGAGAGAGAATCATTGATTGTCTGCCTCCCGCATGCCCCACATGGGGTTGAGCCCGCAAGTTGGGCATGTGCCCTGATGGAATCAAACCATGACCTCCTAATTTATATGTTGACACTCAACCACTGAGCCATGGTGACCAGGCCTAGCTGGCTTTTTGAGAGTAGAACATTTTTTGTCCTATGTGGTTTGGCCAGTGGATAGAGCATTGAAATTAAAGGGTCCCAAGTTAGATTCTGGTCAAGGGCACATACCTCGGTTGCAGGTTCCTGGGCCCTGGTGGGAGTATGCAGGAGGCAACCAATCAATGTATCTCATAATGGTGTTTCTCTCTGTCTCTCCCCCTCCATCTCACTCTCTATAAAAAGAAATGGAAAAAATATGCTTGGATGTGGATTAAAAAAAAAAAAGAGTAGGGCATTTTTATGTTTTTGATGTTTTACTTAGTTTTTAAAATATATATATATAATTTATAATTGTTATTATTATTTTGGTGAAGGTAATGATGCCAAGTCTGTAAGCAAACAGTATTCTCTGAAAGTTACAAAATTTGCCCACGAAGCAGAACAGGCAAAAGTGGAATTAATTGAGACAGAAAAGCAGCTACAGGAACTGGAAAACAAAGATCTGTCTGATGTTGCTTTGAAAGTAAAATTACAAAGGGAGTTCCGTAAAAAGATGGATGCCGCAAAGCTGAAAATCCAGGTAATTTAAAAATGTAATTGAGAAAACCTGTTTAAAGCTTTCTGCTTTTAAGGATTATTATACCTAGTTATGAAAAAAAATAGGACTCAGTTTTTTAACAGCAAGAGAAACTGGAATACAACTTTTCTTTTCCAGAGCATTGGTAGGTTTACATAATTTCCATCTAGGTAAAATATTTCTGCATTCAAGAAGTAGATTATTTTAATCTTTTCTAAAAAACCATAAGGTAAGAAATAAATATAACACAGAAATAATGTCATTTTTGGAAGGATATGCAGTTTTAGAAATTTCTGTGCCTTTGACAACTGTTGTGGGAGGGCTTGAGGAAGATGATGAGGATGGTGGTGGGGGTGAGGAGGAGCGTGATAGTTACCAGTTAAGTGTCTATAAGCTTCCATATACATCTGGGTATTTTGTATGCATCACTTAATCATTATTTAATCCATTGAAGTGGGTATTTTTTACCCTATTTTATAAATGAGCAAGCTGAAATTTAGAAAGGTGAAAAAACTATTTAAGGGTCACATAGTTATGACAATACCATCTTTCAGTATTCTAACATATACCATTTTAAATATTGAAATACATTTTTTTGTTTTGTTTTGGTATTATGAAATTGTTTCAGTTCATAAAACAAATTTTTAAAATTGAAAAACCCTGAACTTTATATTCTTTGTGTTATTACATATGTAGCTATATGCTGCATTAATATTTTGATGCTAATTGGTACACTTGAGCATCTGTGGAATAAATGCAAAAAGTAGTGATATCCTTTCTCAGTTTTTTTTTTTGTTTTATTTTTTTTTGTAATGTTTTATTGATTTGAGAGAGAGGAAGGAAGAGGGAGAACAAGAGAAACATTACTGAGAGAGAGAAACATCGATTGGTTGCCTCTTGCACACCCCCTACTGGGGATCAAGCCCAAAACCTGGGCAGGTGCCCTGACCAGGAATTGAACCAGTGACCTCTTGGTGCATATTTGACGCTCAACTACTGAGCCACACCTCTGGGCCCTATCTCACTTTTAAATAAGATTTTCAGTACTTATAGTGGTATGAAAAGACATTAAATTCTAGTAGCATCATTTTGCAGCAGTTTTGCAATTAACTGTCAAAATTAAATATAAGTTCAGGTTTGTATTATTTTAATATTTACCATGTACATGTTAAAATTTTAAATTATAATATCATTAATAAAAAGCAAAGATAATAATTTTGTTTTGTTTGGGTGTTCTGTTTGAGACTCATCCTTTATATCTAGTGGAAATTATGGTGATTTCCCAATTGTAAAAGTAAAAATGTAAAAAACAGTTGTGAATTTATTAAAAAAAAAAAATCTATGCAAAATGCTTATCCTTGCCATAGAATTGAAAATTTTTAAGTTTATTTGAAGTTTATGAGAAATACAATTTTTCATTTTGAAATATTCCATATGATCCCAGGTCTTACAGAAGAAACAACAACATAGTAAGAAGTTGGCATCACTTTCCATCCAAAATGAGAAACGTGCTAATGAATTAGAACAGAGTGTAGATCACATGAAATATCAAAAGGTACAGCTGCAAAAGAGACTTCGAGAAGAAAATGAAAAAAGGAAGCAATTGGATACAGAAATTCAACGGGATCAACAAAAAATCAAAGTAATATTGTCATACTTTCCTGCTAAATATGAAATGGCTCAGAGCTAAGGAAGCCAAGGTCTTGATTTTATTTGTGAGGTATCTCATCTTGGCCTCTCCTTGGCTACTGTCCTCATTCTCTTGAAAGCTTTGTTCACCTACATAGTAAAGCCTATTTATTGAATTCTGAGTACTGTCTTGAAGGCTTTGACTTCATAAAAGAAAAATCAGTGATACCGTTTCTTAACTGTAGTTTTGACTGTCAAAAACATATAAAGCCAACTTTCTAAATAACATCTGACATTTGAATAGGATTTCCCATTTTCAAAGTACTTTGAAATTCATTGTCCATGTGGTGGCATGGAAAAAGTACAAGGTAAAATGGTACTATTTCATTCATAGTGAGCAGAAAAGTGATCAAACCTGTATGTCCAGCAGTTTTTATAGAGTGGAGAAAACTAGTAGTGTGGTGTCAGCCTGGGCTCTCGAGCCAGGCCAGCAGAGATTTAAATCCCAGCTCTCTCATTTCCTAGCTAGATTATTCATTGAGAAAATCACTTACCCTCTGTGAGTCTGTTTATTCATATCAATAATCGCCTTAATCATTCTTGCCTCACAGAACTCTTTTGAAGAAAGAGGAGGATGATCACCATCATAATAACAATAACAAACACTTATTTAGCACTACATACCAGTCTCTTCTCTTAAAATGTTAAGCCAAACCCACAGCTTAGAACATAATTGGAGATTTCCTAGATATTAATTTTTAAATATAATCTATTCTCAAACCTTTAAAAAAATCATAGAATTTAGTGATAGAAGTGAACTTAAAAAGTATTTAAGCCAAGCTACTAATTCTTTTTTTAAACAGCTTTATTGAGATATACTTCACATACCATACAATTCACCCATTTAAAGTAGACAATAAATGGGATTTGATATATTACAATTAATTTTGTAAGTTGTGGTAAAAGATATATAACATGAAATATGTCATTTTAAACATGTTCAGTTGTACAGTTCAGTGGCATTAATTACATTCATAATGTTGTACAACCATCACTATTTCCAAAACTTTTAGCATAATTCAAGATTTATCCACCTCATTCCATTTTTTTTTTTTTTAATATATCATATTGATTTTTTACAGAGAGGAAGGGAGAGGGATAGAGAGTTAGAAACATCGATCAGCTGCCTCCTGCACACCCCCTACTGGGGATGTGCCCGCAACCAAGGCACATGCCCTTGACCAAAATCGAACCTGGGTCCTTTCAGTCCCCAGGCCAAAGCTCTATACACTGAACCAAACCGGTTTCGGCAAACCCTAACTCCTTTTTAAGGCTGAGTAATATTCCATTGTATTCATATACCACATTTTATTATTCCATTCATTTGTTGTTAGTTTATAGCAGACTTGCGCTCTTTGCGACACCCCTTGTCCCGCCCAGTCCATGTCATGATAGTTGCTGGAAACATGAGAATTAACCAAATGTCCAGTCTGTTTAAACCTTTCCTGTGAATTTAAACATTTCCTTTAAATAATTCTTAGCTCTCTTGAATAAGAATATTTAGACTTTTAGCCTCTTCCACCCTGTGCTTCTCTCCCTAAGATGGAATCCAATGTTTGTGGTGATTGGATGTGTATCTTTTCATTGCATCCTATGGAGGAGGTGGCCCCCTGAGTTTCATTTGTTCTTTGGATGTAACTGACTGGAATCTGCTCTCCCTTGTCAACCTTTCCCTGCTGGCCCCTGATGATGAAACTCACGGCTGGTATGACTCAAAGTCTGGTCTTGCTTTCATCTTAGCATGGAGGTGCTTTGACTTCATCTCTTTTCCTAGTGGCATTATAAATCCCTATTGAGCCTAGGTCTTCCACCTAGCCTGCTAACCTTGTGGTCTGTCCTCATCTTCATTTTACAGGTCAGTTCTCCATGATAACTGACCCCTGTTAGCTCCCACCTCAGGATGCTTGTCACCTGAGGCTGAGGGGTTCAATGAGTCTATTCCTGATTATACCTTGCTCTTTCAGCAAGGCAGGGCAATCCATGTGGGAGTGGGGCCTCTGCCCTATACATTCTCTTTCCTTCTACCCTCAGTGATACCTTCATTTTTCACCCCCTTTCTGAGCCAAAACTTAAGAGAGGAAAATGGGGACACACATCTTTTTTTTTTTTTTTTAAATCCTCACTCAAGGGTATTTTCCCCCCATTAATTTTAGGGAGAGTGGTAGGGAGGGGGGGAGACAGAAAGAAAAACTGATGTGAAGGGGGACAAATCAATTGGTTGCCTACCCCACACACTCAGACCAGGGCTGGGGATCGAGCCTGCAACTGAGGTATGTGCCTTTGACCGGAATCGAACCCGAGATCCATAAGTCTGTAGGCCAACATTCTAACCACTGAGCCAAACCAGCTAGGGTAAGACACACATCTTTCTTACTCTTTTCTCCTTTATGCTGTTCCTAGGGCTAGTAAATGGTAGACTTCCTTTTTACTTTCTTTATATCAATACTTCTGAAATTACCTGTAGAAAAGGTACAACTTTTATTTTATTACTAATATATCACAGCCCAATATATCTATATTTTTAACGCTCACATAAGGATATTTTCCCATTGATTTTTAGAGAGAGAAAGACAGAGTGAAATATTGATGTGAGATAAACACATCGATTAGTTGCCTCCTGCACACTGCCTGACCAGGGCCGGAGCTCAGTACAACCATTGTATGTACCCTTGACCAGAATCAAACCGATGCTTTATGCACTGAGCCAAACCAACTAGTGCCAGCCCAATACTTTTTAAAAACATGAGCTATTTTAATAAAAATTAAAATATATTATAAAAGTCCATCTTTTAATCATTATATTCAATAGACATTAAATTATTTTGTCAAATTGCTATGAATTTCTAAACACACTCAATGTCTATACTTCTCTATCATGGACCATGGAGATAGTATGTGGACTAGCCCCCTTTGACTGGCGACCTCCTTTCTGATTCCTGCTAAGCTATAGTGGCAGAGCATCTTCTCTAAACCTGAAGAGCACTGTGAGCAATGGGCCTCTCTGATGTGACCCTTAAGATGTGGATGGAAACTAAATGAAAATACCCTTCACAGGACCATGATCCGTTTTTGCAAGGCTATTCTCATACTGCAAAATCTGATATTTGAATGTCAGAAATTGACTGCTACTTTTTACATTTCTATTATCATAAACCTTATATCCCCATGACAGATGAGTGCCTTGGATGTATTAACTGAGCGTAATGAGTTCAGAAGGCACAAGAAAAAGCACATTTATAGTTTTTCAGACTTGTCCATGTTACACTAATTTGTAGCATTGGGAAAGAATGAAACACACACACACACACAACAACAACAACAACAACCCTTAGTTTTGTTAGTAAAACTTGATTTTTTTGCTGTAAGATTTTATTGCTTCATTGAGGGGCTAATGTTATTTTCAAATGGCTCCGACTTCATCTACTCTCTTTCTTTTTGCAATTAAGAAAGCAAATGTTGCCAAAACCGGTTTGGCTCAGTGGTAGAGCAGTTTGGCTCAGTGGTAGAGCGTCGGTCTGCGGACTGAAAGGTCCCAGGTTTGATTCCAGTCAAGGGCATGTACCTGGGTCGCGGGCACATCCCCGGTAGGGGGTGTGCAAGAGGGAGCTGGTCGATGTTTCTCTCTCATCGATGTTTCTAACTATCTCTCTCCCTTCCTCTCTGTAAAAAATCAATAAAATATATTTTTTTAAAAAAAGAAAGCAAATGTTAAAAAATGATTATTGTCATAGTAATCATTGGCCACTATGAAAGCCATAAGGTATTTCTGATTTCTGTTTTTTATAGGAACTAAAGTTAAAAACAGAACTGGAAGAAGATCTGATTTTGAAAGCTGAGGACCTAGATGCATTTAAGATGGAAAGAAGAAAAGGTTTGTTTGGAAGTATAGACCAACTCCAGGTTTGTCAATTCTATTTAGTGTTGTTTGGTTTTTCTTCTGTTTGGTAATTGTCTAAATAGAGGTAAAAAATGGTGAACTCTGAATAAAATCTTCAAACACTAGATTTTTCAACTTAAGCATAAAATTTATATTTCCTCTGAAACTTTTCTGTTATTAAAATTATTTTCTTCAAAAAAAATTAAAAATTATTTTTTTATCCAGATATGGATTTATTTCATGTGGAATATAAACATGAAATCCATGTTCATCAGATTGTATTTATTCCCATGTCAAAACTGACTTATTCCCATGGAACTATGTATTTCTAAAAATCAGAGCTTCCCATTCATTTCATATGCACCATATACAATATATTAAAAACTATTGTTTGTTTTAGTGCCTTATTTATTTATTCCTCATCCAAGAATATTTTTTCTATTGATTTTTAGAGAGAGTGAAAGGGTGGAGGAAAGAGAGAGAAAGAGACAGAGACAGAGACAGAGACAGAGAGAGAGAGAGAGAAACACCAATGTGAGAGATACACATTGATTGGTTACCTCCTGCACCCACCCCAACTGAGGGCCAGAGATGCTCTATTCACTGAGCAAAATCACCAGGATTAATACCACATTTAAAAAGTGAAATTCATAAATTACTATGAAAGTTCAAAAAAACAAAATTTTAATTTTATGTAAATTCAAAATGGCAGTTCTAAAAATCTTACAGAAAACTGCACTTTTGGGGGGCAACAAGGAGGGGATAAGGACACATGTAATACCTTAATCAATCAATAAAAAAATAAATAAAATCTCTTTCTCAAAACAAAAAATATTATGCATATACATAATTTTGATTCTGAAAAATTTATTCTTTGTTCCTGAGTTTTATACTTTAATAGTAGAATTTCATGAATATACAGCAGGTCCTGGAATAATGTCATATTATTTCAATATTGTTTCATTGTAATGTTGATAAAATACTTTGGGAAGTTAACTTTTGTTTATATAAATTAGCCTATAGTAAAGTTGGTTCCATTATGTATACATAGTTTTGTTTAAAATTGTAGAATGATATTAAGTGAAGACTTACTGTACTCCAGTTATTTATTTTACTAGAGTGTTTTAGAATATGTTTAAAGAGAATTTCTGGTGGAAAGGATGTGAGGGGAGTAGAAGAGGTAGGAATATGTAGAATAGTGAGATCTGCTTTTTCAAAATGTTTAGGATCTAAATTTTAAACAGGTACAATAATAAAAAATTTACAATGCTTGTATTGACTGTTTTGAGTTAAGAAAAATACACACAAAACTTAATGTTTTTTAATGTTGGAAAACAAAAATTTTCCAGAATTTGACTCTAAATAAGGACAAAATTATGTTAATTAATGTGAGTATCCAGAGGGCTTATTATAGGACAATGACTTAATATGAAGTCCCTGTATAAGAAAAAAGTATTTAAAATTAAAACTCTATGATAGGAACTTTTGCTATAAAAAGAGAAAAAAACAAATCAAGAAGTTTTTAGAAAACTAAGATATAGTGAATTACACAAATCATAACTTCTATTATATCAAATGCAGAAAAATCTATTACTATTTCCCTAAAAAACTTGTATTATGTTAGCAGACTCCTACCTATTCTTCAAAGCATAGCTAAAATATTACCTACTCTGTAGGACTTGCATTGGCATTTCTTTTATTTCCAGACAAAGCCAATCCCTCTCCATTTTTGCTTACATGGTACGTAGGAGTTAGCATTTATTATCACCAATAATGCTTTGGTTTCTCTCCTGTTGGAATGGAACTTTAAAAAGCTCTATTGTTCATCTTTAAAAGCCAACACATAGTTAAGGAATGTTTGTAGAATATGTTTAATTGCTAGACTTCTTAGGGTTTCATATAAAGACTTTCTATGGTATAGCTCGATATAACAAAAATAAAGTATTTCTATATGGCTCTGGATAGCATTTCTATTTCTCAAAAGTATAGCACTACTATTTTAGGCTTCTTTGTGGTTTGGATGTGATAGTGCTGTAGGACCATATTCTTTAGGTGTGGATGGAAGACTGACTCATAGCTTTTTGCTATGAGTCAGTCTTCGAACTTTGTTGTGGCCACTTTGCTCTCTTTTTCTCATGCATATTTTCTATCTCATTGTCTTAATGAAGATTTCTAGGAATCATTTTTTTTATCAAGCTTCAAAAGTACAGGAACATAGTACTATATTGATTTTATATCTGTTGTTTAGTTGGCATTGCTTCATTACTATGAACACACAGTGCAAATGAGTGCTTAGTAGAGTTCATTTTGAACAGTCATATTCCCTTCATATTTTTGTTTGTTTTTGCTTCTGGGTATCCTTAACTCAAGAGAGTATTAAGTTGCTTGCTTTGGAAATCTTTCTGACTGTATTTTACTGAATAATTATTTGATGTTGACAGGATACAGTGCAGAGTGGATTTCTATGCTCCATCATCAATGTCTTCCACTGTGTGTATTAATTTATTCATTTCATCAATTAGTTGATTGAATCAGTCATTCAGTCATTCATTTAACATTTTATTGAGGCCAGTCATGGGCCAAATTTTGGGGATACAATGGTGAAAAGTACAGTTCATATTCAATCAAGGAACTCAAGTTGGGGAACCAAGAGTGTAAGTGCTGTGATGGAGGTGTGCATCTCTTTGACAGAGAAAAATATTCCCAGCTTGTTCTCAGAATGAACTGTTACTCTATGTAAAGAAATTGTCACCCCTTTCTTGGTCAGCCTAAATAAATCTCAGACTCAAATATATTTGGAGAGTTTTAATTCCTTATTACACAACACAGCAACATGTTAAGTGGAACCACTCACTTCTCGACAGTTTTAGACAGGAACATTATTTTGTTATTTCCACGTGTTCATTTAAAGTCTTTTGGCCAATCTGAAGTTTTAGTACCTTATACATTTTATGGCAGAAGGAAAACAAATAAAATTTCTTTGTAATTTTAATGTAGAAATTGGATGAGCAAAAGAAATGGTTAGATGAAGAAGTAGAGAAAGTTCTGAACCAACGCCAGGAGTTAGAGGAGCTAGAAGAAGACCTGAAGAAGCGGGAGGCCATAGTTTCTAAGAAGGAGGCCCTGTTACAGGAGAAGAGCTACCTGGAAAATAAGAAGTTGAGATCTAGTCAGGTATTCTATTTAATACACTGTTTCATTCTGGTTGTAAGTCATATAAAGCAGGATTTTTTTCTCTAAGAAGTAAACCATTGTGAAGCCAGAAGTGCACAAATTCTGTACATCGGAACTCTAGTAAACATATAATTACTTTTATGAACAAATATTTTAAAAAATTAACTTAGCCCATAATTAAGAGCTCCATAAATCTGACTGGCTGTGTTTTCTGACCAGATGAAATGAGTAGAAACAAATTATATGTTTAAATAATAAACCAACCAAATCTCAAACTCTAGGAAATTTTAATGCAATTAATTCTACTATGTAACCAGGCCAAAGAAGAAAAGTTCAATTTAGAAAATAAAAGAAAAATAGTACTTCTCAAAACCTATGCTGTGTGGTCTGATATGGCCAAGCAATATTTGGTAGTAAATTCATTGTTTGCTTTTTTATTTTAAAAAAAGGCATTAAACTTAAGATTTTAGAAAACGAAATCCCTCTACATCTCTCCCCACCACCCCACCCCCCAAAAAAAAATCCATGGGATAAAATAATGTAGTACCTAAAAAAATATTTAGTAATTTTCTGTTTTTCCTAATTATATGCAATCTGGATTTATAATTTTTTTGAGTTCTTATTGATTGTATCTTTTTAGGCCTTAACCACAGATAGTTTGAAAATATCAACTCGCCTGAACTTGCTGGACCAAGAGTTGTCCAAAAAGAATGTGCAGCTCCAGAGCAGCACAGCTGAGGAGAAAATAAAGATTTCAGAACAAGTTCAAGCCCTTCAGAAAGAAAAAAATCAGCTACAGAGACGAAGAAACAGTGTGGAAGAGAAACTTAAAAATGGTAGCATGTTATCGCCTGAAGTAAGTCAGTACTCTTTGAAACTGGAAGTACTGTATGATGGACCACTTGGATGATTTCCTCCCTCTGTCATTTAAACATAAAAAATGATACATCTGGTGAACTTTGTTTCCTTGAGACTTTGTCAGATGAAATGAGTTTACCTGGCACCACAAGCCATGCTTGACTAGGGACTGCCATGTCCTTATGTAGAGGTCCCTGAGTGTGGGTGGCCCCTTCCTGGTTTGCCAGGGGTTGGAAGACTAACACTTTCTTTGAGTTTGGCCCTTCTCAGCTGGGTTTCTTATCTGAACTCACAAAATAGACAATGATTGAAGGGACTCTTTTTTTCTCATTTCTTCCAAAGAAGGCACCTCCCTTCTCTCTCTGCACCTTTCTTGAACGATCCTAGGAATTCGTTTCATACAATGATTGCTCAGGCATTAAGGATTAATTCTTTCTATTATCTTGGTTGAGAAAGGCCCAATGTCCCTTCCAGAGAGATGCATAAAATTCAAACCCTAATAAAAATACCCATTTAAGAGGCCATATAGCTTCTCTCAACTTTATTTTTTAAAATATGAAAAGATATTTCATTCATGGCTTTCAAATTGCCCCAGACTTTTTTTTTTCTTCAGAATTTTACCTCAGTTGGCAATGGTACCTGTACCGTTCTTGGTCAGACAACGATGAATTTTGAGCCATAATTTTCTCTATGAATATTTATTGGTGATGTCTTGTCATTACCAAAGCAAGAGAAACTTGCTAAGAGAAAGTGAGTAGCTGGGAAACATGAACCTTGCTGACTCTTGTAGTGTTTTAAAGAAACTATGAGAGGAAGTTAAAGAGAACTAGTTAAGAGGGAAGAGGAGAGCTGAAGCCAGTTTGGCTCAGTGATAGAGTGTCGATCTGTGGACTGAAAGGTCCCAGGTTCGATTCCAGACAAGGGCATGTACATTGGTTGTGGGCACATCCCCAGTAGGGGGTGTGCAAGAGGCAGCTGGTCAATGTTTCTCTCTCATCGACGTTTCTAGCTCTCTATCTCTCTCCCTTCCTCCTCTCCGTGAAATATCAATAAAATATATTTTTTTTTAAAAAAAGGAGGGAAGAGGAGAAAGGATTTCATGATATTAGATTATTGCTCACTGAGTTGATGAAAAGTATTGAAAACTAAGTCAATTGAGGGCTATGTGGTATTATAAGCCTCTACTGCCATTTTATCATTCAACCTCGGTAGCTGTGCAGAGGATCACAGATTCTGGCTGTCCTTACAAGACTGTTTAAATTGGAGCCCAAGTTTATAAATTTGAAGGTATGAGAGCCTAAAATACAGAAAAACATATAAGTATTTAAGAAATTCTTGCCTGCCCAAGACTGTTACTGGGCCCAATGGAAGAAACAAACAAACAAACAAACAAAAAAGCATTATGCTTCTCTTGAGAGATTCATACTCTATCTGGAGAAAATAGGATAAGACAACTCTAAACACTGAAGAACATAAATAAGCCATACTTATTATTTATACAAAGCAATGCGGTGATCAGGTGGGGGAAGATTATTAGCACAGTCTTGGTGGATTAGAAATGAGCTAGATTATGAAAAACATATATACTACACTGGTCAATATAGAAAAGGCCATTTTATAGATAGAACACTGTTAAATAAGGTATAGAGATGGGAATGAGCAAATAATGTTTGCAGAAGGGTAAATGGTTCATTATTGCCATTAAGAAAGTTTCTTCTTCACGTGGAATTCTATAACTAAAGACATGTGAAGTTTTGTGGTAAAAATAAAGGAGTGTGCATGCTACCAGTGAAGCAGCCACTCTGGGTTGGTGTGAGGGAGTGATGAGCCTTGGTGGAGTTCCATTTATTTGTGTGAGCTTCTCTGCACCCTTCTTCCACACGGTTCTTTTCTCCTCCTCCTCCTTACACATACACACATTTATTTACATTTCTTACCTATAAAGGCTCAACTTGGCAGTCAGGAAAGGAGGATGTTGCTGCTATATTCAGCTCTTGTGTTCTCATTAAAAGTTATAAGCTGAGCCCAGCCCTAGCTGGTTTGGCTCAATGGATAGAGCATCAGCCTGCAGACCAAAGATTCCCTGGTTTGATTCCCGTCAAGGATACATACCTCAGTTGCAGGCTCCTGTAGGAGGCAACCAATGGATATGTTTCTCTCACATTGATATTTCTCTGTCTTTCTGTCTCTTTTAAAAATCAATGGAAAAATAGCTTTGGATGAGGATTAAACAAACACCTTTATTTAAATAAATAAATAAATAAATAAATAAATAAATAAATAAATAAATAAATAAATAATAAGCTGAGCCCAGTTGGTGTGGCTCGGTAGTTGAGTGGCAGCCCATGAACTAGGAGGTCCTGGTTCAATTCCCGATCAGGGCACATTGCCTGGGTTGTAAGCTCAATCCCCAAAAGGGGGTGTGAAGGAGGCAGCTAGCTGATCAATGATTCTCTCTCATCACTGATGTTTGTTTCTCTCTCCCTCTCTTTCCTCTCTCTGAAATCAATAAAAAACATTAAAAAAATAACTTCATAACACTACTGATTATTTATTTTTTTTTAAATTTTAAACTGATTATAATAGACATATTGGAACATTCCAAGCTCTGCTTCAAAGCCGAGCTGGAGCACAGATACTTTCTCCAGTAAAACCTTTCCTCAGCATCATAAGACTCACAACTTAACCATAAGCATAGCCATAGGCAGAATCTCAGGCTGGATCTACACGAAAGAGGTTAATTGGGAATGACCCCAGGTTCTATTCAAGTTCCTTGCAGCAGAGCTAACTAAGCTCCTGGCCCAGTGACCACATGGTTCTTTTTAGTTGGTTCTGAAATGGGCTCTGTTCTTCCCACTGTTTTCAATCTGAGATTAATATTAACAAATATGCCTGCCAATAGCAGATGGTGGGGAACATGAAATGCTGATGTGACACAAGACTGTAGAATCTAGGTGAAATGGTTTGCTGTTTTGATGTCTTTATTGCTTGGAATTATTTTCTCTTTCCACAATAAATGAAAATATTTTTCTAATTTGGGAAAGTAATAGGTTTTAGATCACTATACACTTTAATATAAGCAAATTAATTCCTTTGGTAAAATTCAGAAACTAAGATTAAAAATATCAATAATGCAGAGTAGTTGCCTAGTAATTGAGGTATGCTTCCAATTTTAGGTTTTAGGATTATAAGATATAACTTGAGAAATATACATATATGTAGTGCTTGCTCAAAATGTTTAATTTTGTTTTCTTTTTGTATTGATTGGTATGTGTGATCTAAAAGGTATGGAGCCCATTGCTTTACATTTCTATTACTCTCAGATCACTGACCTCTGGTCCGGCAGCAGCAGAGTTCCCTGGCGTTAGAAATGCAGAGCCTCAGGCCCCACCCAGGCCTGCTCCTTGGTACACAGTCATTTTAAAAAGTGCTCTATGATAAAGGATAGTTAATTCTTGGTAATCGATGGTTTGAGTTGTGGCAAATTTTTATCCGGGGACAGTTTCCCATTGCCACTCATCTTGTCAATCTATACCTATTGCTGGGTTAGTGGGACCCACGGATATTTAGGCACTGCAGCCCCATTGGAGCAGGCTGTGTCAGGGTTACATAATTGCTATACTGTCTTGCTATAGTTTCTTAACTTGGATCCAAAACTGTAGGAATTAAATTAGCACCTAATTGTTCCTAGCCATATGTAAAGTCAAACTATTTCCATATTTGTTTTTGGTAAAAATAGAATCACACTATGCATTCATGAGTCAAATATGTTCTTTGGATAACCTACCTTTATATTCTGGTTCCTGATTCATTCATCCTTGTACCTTTCAGGATTTAAGTTTATTTTTTCTTTCTTATGGAGTTATTGTCAAATCATCAGGTTCTTGAAGTTTAGTGATTGCACAGAGAAATAAAATGGTTGTAGAACACTGTTGAAAATGGATCTTTCAGGATATTTTATAAACTAGCTTTTAAAAATACATATTATTTGACCTTTCACTGGAATATATTGTTACATACTATTTCCCTGAATTTCAGAAAATAAGCTCTGGAAATCACTGTTTTTTAGGTAGATTAAAGTACTGACATTATTTTCCTGGAAATGCTGGGGAGAGGAGTGGAAAGAAATATTTGGGCCCTATAACCAAGACATAATGAAAAAAAATATTTTTTTCTCTTCTTCATCAACTCACTCAATAGACAATGAGTTTAAATTGCGTGACATACTGTGCTAGGCAACCAGGGCATGAATATAGACAAGATACTCTGCACTCAGGAACTTAGAGTTGAGATAATCTCCAGCACATGTGCAAATATATATTTTGCAAGGTCTTGGCAAGTGTGAAACATGGCTTACCAATATTTGAATCCCTCCCCACAAATAACATGTTATTTGGATAGTTCAGCAAACCACTAGATTTTCTGAGGTATTCATCGTATTTCTTTCCTACAAAGGAAATCTCTGGCATATAAAAAAAATGATATGCTGCCATATTTTCCCTCCAATGATGTCTCTTATGAAATGTTTCATGTCCTTAAATCCTCATTACTTTTTTTTTAATGTCATATTGTTTTTCCCTTAGAGACTCAACTCTGATTTAGTTCTTAATTTATTCTGAATCTTATTTCTTCTTTCCCTCCTAGCAATATATTGTTTTAATGGATGTTTGAAGAAACATCAAGGGGTCTCCAGATCTCCCTGACACATAATATACACTTTAGGAGCTAGGGAGGGAGATATATTATAAAATTGCTAATCCTGTGGGCTGAGGCTTGGTGTTCAGCATTTGCTGAATGACCTTGGGATGTTTCATAACTCACCTAAGCTTCTGCCTCTTCCATTTTACTAATAGATTTATTGCAGGGATTCAGTGATTATATGTTACATAAGTGTATACCAACATAAGCACACTGTATAGCATAGCATGCACTCAGTAAGCATTCTTTCCTTAAAGTTTAGTAGTAGAAAGGTAATGCCCATTAGACTCAAATACAGCAGGTCTTTGAGTAATGTCATTTCATTTGAAGTCATTTCGTTATAATGTTGATGGTGTGTGTGTGTGTGTGTGTGTGTGGGCAAGAGGAGGCATCAATTCCGGACCAGGGTCACTATCTATTTAGAATTTGCACCTTCTCCCCAAGTCTGTGAAGGTTTTCTCTTTGAACTCAGGTTTCCCCCTACATCTCAAAAGCTGTGCACATTAGATGAACACACGTGTCTAACTTGTCCCAGTCTGAATGAATGTGGGTGAGTGTGTGCCTGCAATGGAAGAGTGTCCTATCTACGGAGGGTTCCCACCTTGCACCCTGAGTGTAGAGACAGGCGTCAGCCACCCATAACCCTGAACGGAATTAGTGGGTTGGAAAATCATTATCTTAATTGTTTTTATTAACCTTCCTTAAAATATATGTATAGCTCACATTTATTTCAATGTTTAATATTAGAAGTGTTTTGGGTCTTTATTTAGGGGTTTGATGATATTTTTGTGGCCAGATACATGGCATAGGCACTTCACTCTTGTTTGTATCAATTAGCATATGGTAAAATTGGTTTTGTTATACATTGTTTTGCTTAAAGTTGCAGTTTCCAAGAACCTATTGACAACATTAAGTGAGGACTTAATGTAGCATAATTAGATCTTAGTATGTGACCAAGTCCAAGTTATACTATTTCATTTAAAATGAATGATTTCTGCCCTAACTGGTTTGGCTTAGTGGATAGAGCGTTGACCAGGGTTGTGGTTTCAAAACCCATTAGGGGCATGCAGTAGGCAGCTGATCCATGATTCTCGCTCATCATTGATGTTTCTCTCTCTCCCTCTCCCTTCCTCTCGGAAATCAATAAAAATATATCTTTTTAAAATAATAAAATAAAATGAATGATTTCTGTTGTATCTTAGGAAGAACATGCTCTTTTCCAACTTGAAGAAGGGATTGAAGCTTTGGAAGCTGCAATTGAGTACAAGAATGAAAGTATCCAAAGTCGCCAGAACTCGCTCAGAGTTTCATTTCAAAACCTTTCTCATAGTGAAGCAAACATCTTGGAAAAACTAATTGGTCTGAATCCTACTGAGATTAGAGCTATCCTTTTCAGATATTTCAATAAGGTTAGTTTTTGAGAGATAGAGGATTTTCTTCTAAAGAGGCGTCCAGATGTTTACACATCTCACATATTTAGAATTTTTAAGGAAATTAGAAGACATATAAAAATGGTGTAACTCCAGATTTAAGCATGATTTCTCTTTACAGTACTGCATGCTGTCACCTGAAAGCTTTGTGATTATCCAAGTATGTATGCCTAACTTGGTGTGGTTCTTAAAGTTGAAGGGCCTTCTGAAATAAGAGTTTTTGAAGTACTTTTTAAAATCAAAGAATTTACATTCCTCAGTCACTGCTTCTTGATGTTTTCTAGATTTAGATGTTGCTAATGAGCATTCATGAAAAATCAAGGGCCTGCAAGTTTGGGTTACCTTTTTTTCATTGCTGTAGGAGAGGGGTACACTTACTTTTTCATCATAACATGTGAATTGGTATGGAGATGAAGTGGTACATCACTGGCAAAGACAATAATAGATTTTAGCAGTAACTTGAATATGCTTAATATGAATAAAAATATTTTATACTAGAGGCCCAGTGAACAAATTCATGCACCCGTGGGGTCCCTTGCCCTAGCCTGTGGGATCAGGCCGAAACTGGCTCTCTGACATCCCCCAATGGGTCCTGGATTGTGAGAGGGCACAGCCAGGCTGAGGGACCCCATCGTTGCATGATGAGGGCTGAGGAGGGATGTGGAAGATTGGCCAGCCAGGGAAGGACCACTGGAGGGCTCCAGGGTATGTCTGGCCCACTTGCTCAGTCCCGATTGGTTGGACCCCAGCAGCAAGCTAACCTACCAGTTGGAGTGTCTGCCCCTCTGGTGGTCAGTGCACATCATAGCGACTGGTTGACCGGTTGACTGGCCCCTGGTGGTCAGTGCACGTCATAGCAAGTGGTTGAGTGGCCTTAGTATATTATTAGCATATTACACTTAGATTGGTTGAACAGATGACTAGACGACCAGACATTAGCATATTGGGCTTTTATTATATTGGATTTTATATGTATTTGACAATTTACTGATCCAGAAATGCCCTGTACCATGGAGAACTATATCCATCTTTTTTCTTTTAAAATATATATTATGAAGTATTAAACAAGTAGATAACTTCTTTCTGTGAAAAGTAATGCAATTTAAGGGAATATCAGATAACTAATGAGCAATAAAACACTGAAATTTAAAATAAAGTTTTAATTCTGTTACACAAGTGAAAAAAATATGAGAAATGAATAGAAATGTTGTGCACAACCCTCCTCTTGGATAATTACTGTCAGTAGTAAGCTGCTGTTATTGGTGAGAGTGCATTCTATCACTGAATGTGTGGAGGGTAGAAAAATGGTGGGGTACTCAGGAGTTTTTTTATATAAATAACTCTTTTGTGGTAATCTTAGAGTAAGTGTTCTTAACCCAAAGCATCCAGGCCAAGGTAAATAGATTTTCTGATCCTGAAAACCATTGAGAAAAGTGCTTTTCTTAAAAAGTCATTATACTGTTAACAAGCTCTGTGACACAGACATTTTTTACTTCATATCAATGCAGAGAGGAACCCAATGGACTAAATGGACAATCTAAAACCAAACTTGGTATTTATAGAGTTTTAAAAATTTGGTCACTTATTTATAACATCCATTTTGGACTTCACGCTGTTATAAGTCTTTAGTTTCTCAATGTCTTCTTAGACTAAAGAAATAGAATTATAGGATTATAAATGTAAATTATAGGATTATAAATGTCTAAGAAATGTTATAGGAGCAGTTAGTAGAGCAACATTATACTGAAATAAAATTACCACCAATTCAGAATCCAAAAAAATTCAAAAGAATGTTAGGTTATTTTGTGGGTCTGTTACAAAGCATTTGCCCTCAGTTATACGATGGTGATTAAGGAAGTTCATCTTACATTGCCTAACAGAAGTAGATTAATCTATTGTATCAGGTTATCTAAGACAGACTGAAAAGGTAAAAAAAATGTATTTGCTAGGTGGTTAATTTGCGAGAAACTGAGCGAAAACTCCAGTTACAGAATAAAGAAATGAAAATGAAAATCCTGGAACGGGATAATATGTTTCGTGAATTGGAATCTGCACTGGAACATCTGAAATTGCAATGTGACCGGAGACTGACCTTCCAACAAAAGGAACATGAGCAAAAAATGCAGTTGCTGTTACATCATTTCGCAGGTACCTGCCTGCCCTGTTGTCAGTTATGAACAGGAGATATGTAGGAGGGAGATTTGGAAAGGAAGATAGAACAGCATTTGATCACTTAAAAGTCCAGCAAGTATACAGTTACTGCTTATTCATGTTTTTCTGCTTTCTATGTTTGGTTAGCCTTTGATATAGGGCTATTCATGCTTGAAATGCCACCCCATGTGCTTATCCCCACTGTCACACAAAAGAACTGCTGCAATCCTGTTACTTTGTTGTTGGTTTAGTTTTTACAGAGTTGTGGAATGACTTCTGGCTTTGTGGTATACAGTTGAAAAATTTCTGCCTCCTAAGGATATAGTAACTGATATTTAAATTACTTTCCCTTCATAAAATTAAAGTGATAGGCTCTGACAGATTTCTAGTTATATTTCTTGTTATAATTTTCAGCTGATTATGATCTTTATGCATTAAGGTTATATCTTAGGTCAAAATTACTCTGAGCAAATACTGTTATCAGTGCGCAATAGTTCAACCATTAATTCTGGTGTGGAAAGAGCTGTCATAGCAGTCAGTCCTCACATTACCTGGGCATATGGCTGGTAAACAAGCAGTTGCTATGACAACAAAATCACTGCCAGGGGATACTGGTAATGCTTCAGTCCAGGCCACTTAGCTGCTTAGTCCTGATTCTTATGCATTTATAGCTGGAGATGCTTTTAAAGGGATCTGGAAGAAGCAAACCAAGGAAGCAGAAAATTGGAAAATATGTGAATTTGAGTGCTTAGGCAATTTGCTTCTAAGTTAATTCTATAACCAGTTAATTGATATCCAGTTGCCTGATGACAGGATCCCTTACATCATATCATTCAACTGTGCTCTGCTTACCTTATTTTAGTTCTGCCTTAAGGCTCTAAAAGTGGTATTTTAATATAATTTCTAGTGTACAGGGTGGGGTAAAAATAGGTTTACATTATGGAAAAACACATTATTGATAGATAAATAAATAATAATCCTATATAATAAAAGGCCAGCAACCATAAGCAGGAAGATTGCTCAACCAGTTGCCATGAGGTGCATTGACTACCTCTCGGTCCCTCCCCACCCCCAGCCTGCAGGCTTTGATCACAGCATGGAAAATGGTGAACCAAGGTGACTGGCAAGCGGGCAGAACAGCTGAGCTCTTGGTCCCTCCCCCCAGCCACAGGCTCTGGGGAACTGGAGTCATGCTGCCAGCGGGGAACCACGGCAAACCGGAGGGGTGGCAGTGGGATGGGACTGGGGATTGGCGAGTGGACAGAAGATGGCCTTGATCACAGGCTAAGCCTAGGGACCCTACCCATGCATGATTTTGTGCTCTTGGCCACTAGTCTATATATATAAAAGCCTAAGCAACTATTATGACTGAATGACCAGAACCACCAGTCGCTATGGTGCGCACTGAACACCATGGGGCAGACCTCAATGCAGGAATTGCCCCCTGGTGGTCAGTGCACTCCCTCAGCCAGCTAACCTTCCCTGGTCCCTCCCCACTGGCAGGCCAACCTCCCGTGGTTCCTCCCTCCGGCCTACCCTGATCGGGACTGTGTGAGATGGCCCCTATTGGCCCTGATCACTGGCCAGGCCTAGGGACCCTGGCTGTGCATGACTTAGTGCACTGGGCCTCTAGTCCTATATAATAAAGGGCTATCATGCACATTAACTGAAAGGCAGAACAACAGGTTGCCATGTAAAATATAGCAAAAAAAACAAGCTGCCCCTGATGGTCAGTGCACCAAAAGCCGGGCTTATGTTTGGTGATCACAGCGGCGGTGGCAGGAGCCTCTTCCATCTCTGCTGCAGCGCTAAGTATGTCCAACTACTAGCTTAGGTCTGCTCCCACAGGCCTAAGCCGTCAACCATACTTTCCCTGAGGGCTCTGGACTGCAAGAGGGCGCAGGCTGGGCTGAGAAACACCCCCTGCCCTGAGTACATGAATTTCGTACTCTGGGCCTCTAGTATAAAAATAAACCCTGTATTTCACCTACTCACAAGTGTAAACCTACTTTTGCCCCACCCTGTTACTATGCTATTTCCCCCTTTTGTTTCTGTTGTGTTTTCCTTTGTAATTTAATCTTTCTAGCTTCGTTTTTTTGTTTTGTTTTGTTTTTTAGAATTTTTTTTAGGTTTTTTTTTGTTTGTTTTTTTAGTTTTTTTGAGTTTATTGTTGTATATTCTCTGGGCGTATAGTCAAAGGCTTGTGACTTTTCATATACCCACTGTTCCTGATACAAACTTGGATATTGATGTAGCGGATGGACAGAGTTCCAAATATGAACTTGGTATAAAAAAAGTTTGTTGTTCTAAAGATAAATCTAGTTAGGAGTTATTCAGAAAGTGCTTATGAATCATAAAAATGTGGTGGGGACAGGGTAGAGAAGGTGACTAAGGTAACATTCCTACTTTGAAAAATTTTACAGGCAGAAGAATCCAAATTGTAGGTAGAAACAAATCTATTCAGGTAACAGATATATTGTAACATAATCTGACCCTTTAAATATGAAAACACATCATTTCAAACATTTATTTTAAGCTGATTTTAAATGTAAATTTCTATTTTATAGAGCAAGATGGCGAAGGCATTATGGGAACTTTAAAATCATATGAAGATAAAATCCAACAGCTGGAAAAAGATCTTTATTTCTATAAGAAAACCAGTAGAGATCTTAAGAAGAAACTTAAGGAACTGTTAGGGGAAGCAGTTCGAAGGCCACTGGTACCATCTGAACGTAAGCATTTAGTGCTACTTGTCATGCTAACACTGTTTTTCTAGCATTTGGTGAAGTCGGTCTGATTTGTAGTTCAGCTTTTCCCAATTGATCTGGTTATTCAGGACTAGATAAATTTAACTTCTATTTGGCTCTGTAAACAAAAGTAATTCTCTAGTCTATCTATAAGACAAACCATGGGGAAATTTAATGAATGTATAATTGTATATGTATGAAGGAAACTACACATATTGATTGCTTGCTTGCCATGTGCCATGGACTTTTGTATTCCCTAACCTAAAGTAACTCCCTTCTATTTTCTCTCTAAAGATCTATGGAAAAAATATCCTTGGGTGAGGATTTAAAATATATATTATTTTAAATGAAATCATATATATATGATTTCAGCTAATTTACTATTCTATTTTGACCCATCTTAAAAACTTTTATTTTTGTCTATAAAAAGTGATATATAGTCATTATATCAATAGAAAAAGTTTTAAAAATATAGCAAAAAAATACCCATAATTCTATTCAGAACTATTAACATTTAGTATAAATTCTTGTCTGTATTTTCCTCATGCTTTAAAAAAAAATAAAGTTGGAATCATATTGGGAATATAGCTTGTATTATATCTTATTTCAAAATGTTACTCTACTAATAATGACACTAAACAAGATTGGTTTGAATTATAAACTATAGCAACTTAAACATATTAAATTCTGAGTTTTCTAAAATATACTATATGCTTAATAGTTAGTATCCTAATTTATAATAATAAAAGCATAATATGCTAATTAGACCAGATGTCCTTCCCGACCACCTTCCAGATGAAGCCAGGGCTGCGAGGGAAGCACGGGCCCCAGAGGGAAACCCAGGTCCCGGTTGCCAGAGGGAAGCCAGTGCTGGCAGTAGGGGGAAGGAAGGCTTACTCTTGAAAGAATTTTGTGCATAAGGCCTCTAGTTAATACATATTAATTGGTATTCAGGTTATTAGTTTTTATAGCACTCTTTTCATTGTCTGCCTTTTGGGCTTGTATTTATCTTCTTTGAGTATTTTTTTAGCATTTTCAAATGCATAAAAATTAATCTTTTGCCCTACCCAGTTTGGCTCAGTGGATAGAACATCAGCCTATGGACTGAAGGTTCCCAGGTTCGATTCCGGTCATGGGCATGGATCTTGGTTGTGAGAATATCCACAATAGGGGGGTGTGCAGGAAGCACCTGATTGATGTTTCTCTCTCATCAATGTTTCTAACTATCCCTCTCCCTTTCTCTCCGTAAACAAATCAGTAAAATACTTTTTAAAAATTAATCTTTTGACCAAAATATTGTGGTCACTTTTGAGTCATCTATTTTGTAACATTTTATGAGAATAGAATCAGTTTATAAGGACATACAGTCTATGCACTTGTTTACATATTTCAGTCTCTATCCGTGTATCAATTTAAATCACTGTAAAACTCTGTGAGGATACTAGAATCAAAAGATCTGGGTTTAAAAAAACAAGAAGATAAAGAAGATCTGAGTTGGATCCTAACTTCTTGTTTTACTAGCTGTGTGACCTTGTGTGCATTACTGTAATCTTTCCCTAATTTGTTCCCTAATGGTAAAATTCTGGAAGAGGGGAACTTTCTATTCTGAAGAATCCAAGACTGGCATGGGAGTGGGCTTCTCCAGCGAGCCCGTCTGTGTTCTTCGGCATGTGCCACTGTGGCCTGGGCATTAGGATTTTTAAAACTTCCTATTGACTCTAATGTGAAGCAAACTTTGAGAGCACTGTGTGTGGTCAGCTTTGTGAGGATCTGTTAGTTCTATGTGAGGATCGATGTCATTTGCTTATTCAGGGGTTTTTTGAGAGAATTTTAAATACTAGAAAACAAATTATGTTTTAAACCAGGAGTCACAAACTAACATGACTGCAGGAGCCAGGGAAGCCACAGTGAGCAGAGGGGACTGCAGCTGTTGTATAAGTGGACAGGGGCAACTCTGTTCCAGTTGCTGTTCAGAAATTGTCAGTTCTCTTTTTTTCCTAGAAATGTTGGAAATCTGTATTTTTATATGAAACTTTCTAATTTTCAAATTTTGGGTCAGGTATTATATGCTTACTAAAACCTTTGGCTTGGGAGTTGCCATTGTGCAACTTCTGTTTTTAAACTGCATGTTCATAGATCTAGAACTATACTAATCATGTGCCAACATATGTTAAAGTTGGCTTTTTTCATTATATAAGGTCCAGTACCTGCTTCCCTTAAGCAAGTTTTTGTCTTTGCTGTTTGATGATTCTATAATTTGAGAACCTCAGGCTTTGTTCCAGCAGAGTGTCCGTCACTGAGGGGCGTTGCTTCCATCTCCATTTTGATAATAGAACTCCAGAGTATATTGAGAGTAGAACCCTCCTATCAAGACTAGATTTTCACACACATAATGCCAAGTCCCAGAAGAGTTGCTGGAGCTATGGGGCAGAGACAGTATTCTCCAGTGCTGGCTTCACTTAGCTTGGATTTAGAATGTGATCACCGGTGGCAATCCCAGTGGAGGGCAGGTTGGAAGGGCACCAGAAAGGCCCAAACACTTCTGTGTTTCCAGGAAGTACCAAAATCACGAGCTGACTATTTTTCTTTTTCTTTTTCTTTTTTTTTATATTTTATTGATTTTGTACAGAGAGGAAGGGAGAGAGATAGAGAGTTAGAAACATCGACGAGAGAGAGTCATCGATCAGCTGCCTCTTGCACACCCCCTACTGGGGATGTGCCTGCAACCGAGGTACATGCCCTTGACCGGAATCGAACCCGGGACCCTTCAGTCCCCAAGCCAACGCTCTATCCATTGAGCCAAACCGGTCTCGGCAGTAGCAGACTATTTTTCAACTACGTTCCAGAGAAAAAAGTTCTCAGTTATTCACATGCAAGATGTCTCAAAGTAAAATCAGAATAGTTCATATTTACACTTATATTTGTCTAAGAAATTATTTAACAAAAAACCCTGAAAGATAATTTATGAGTGATAATGTAATTATCACACTTGAAAACCTATATAATTTTATTAACCAATATCAGCCCAATAAACTCAATAAAAAAGAAAAACACTGCTGGAACCTGTTTGGCTCAGTGGATAGAGCATTAGACTGTGGACTGAAGGGTCCCAGGTTCGGTTATGGTCAAGGGCATGTACCTTGGTTGTGGGCACGTCCCCAGTTGTGGGGGTGGTGCGGGAGGCAGCTGATCGATGTTTCTGACTACCCCTCTCCCTTCCTCTCTGTAAAAAATCAATAAAATATGTTTTTTTTTTAAAAAAGAAAAACACTAATGGCATAATGTTAGGATGTCATGACTAAAATACCTACTTTTGAGGAACTCTCTAATTTTCTTTGCTTTTTGTATTGTTTTTAGATCATGATGCTGGAGATGAAGTTCTGAACCCAGAAGAAGCAAGCATGGTTTCAGAAGAATTAAAATGGGCATCCAGAACTGAAAGTATGAAATTAAGTGGAAGGGAAAGAGAATTAGATAGTTCAGCAAGCAGCTCAAGAAAACAAACAAATTCTCAGAAGCTCTGGGAAGACAGCCCTGAATTACCTCCAATTTATAGCTCTTTAGCGCCCACTAGAGGGCATATGTTAAGCGAAGAGGATAAAACAGACATAGATGACAATCAGTTTACAAAACCTCACAGTCAACCACCACCTCAAATTCAGCCAATGGGAAATGTGGGACAGCTTCATGGTGTCATGCCTGTAAAATTGTGTCGCAAAGAGTTACGTCAGATTTCTGCCTTGGAACTAAAATTACGAAGGTCCAGTCTTGGAGTTGGGGTTGGTTCTATGACTGCCGATTCCATTGAAATAGCCAGGAAACCGAGTGACTTAAAAACTTAGGTAGTTATTAATAGAACTTTTAATTTGCTTTTCCATAATAACCAAACACACATTTTCCATTACTGTCAAGTAATGGAACATTTAAATATTTCCACTTATAAATTCGTCTAAAATTCTTTTCCAGGCTTATTTGAAGAATAAGACAAAGAGTAGAATAATAAACTGTATATTAATCAAATTTATATTATTATATAATATAAAAGTATATTATGTATGTTATAATGCAATAATTTTATCTTACGTTTGTTATTGTTATTTTCAAATACAAGTATATTTTTGTTATTTTAAAAAGATCCAGTTAAATATAGCTTATGTCAGAGGGAAAGTCACCTACTCTACATGTATTGACACAGCTAAAAACCTATGCCAAAATGTAGTCCGTGGGCTAAGGCAACTGGCTAGGTTTGTGGATTAAGGTTAATTTATGGACCTAGAACCCACAAAGGTTGAGTGATCTTGATTTTTTAAAACATGGCTTCTGTTCTTTTTTTGAAATTGTATTTAGAATGTTATAATATTGGTTTGATAATATTATAGAATGTAAGTTTTCATTTCTTTTCTGCCCTATCCAACATCTCTCTCTTTATGCTACTAAAAATGGGAGAAATGAGTGCAGTTCTATGGAACAGGGAAGCAATAATAGAATAACACTAAAGCATTCTAACATTTCAAGGAAAATATATCTGGTCACATGGAATCTACATGCATAAAACCCTAAGTGATCGGTAGACTGTTTGACCAGTTGCTATGACGCACATTGACCACCAAGGGGCAGATGCTCAATGCAGGAGCTGCCCCCTGGTGGTCAGTGCATTCCCACAGCTGACTGACATGAGCCAGATGCCCGGCTCGTGATTGGCAAGCACAGCTATGGCGGCACAAGACTCTTCTGCCTCCGCTACAGTGCTTCCCAGCGGTGGCAGGTTCAGCGGGGCTTGGATAAGCAGAAGTGGCGTGGTGCCGGCCTGGGCTTGGACGCCTCTCTGGCTGCCTGCCGCTTTGCACTCCACTACATCCTCCAGGGTTGTTGGACCGGCGATTTCTGTCCCATCCCCGCAGGCCAGGTTATCGGGGAAACCGGCACCCCAACATTCCCTGAGGGGTCCCGTATTGCAAGAGGGCGCAGGCCAGGCTGAGAGACCCCACATGTGCAGGAATCTGTGCACCAGGCCTCTAATACACCTATAAAGCTTGAAGTCGAGCCAGAGGATCTTTAATAATATGATGCACTTCATCTGAGAATTTTCTCTATAACCTGTTTAGTCAGACTTTGCACCCAGACAGGCCAGACTACATTTGGGCTGTAAGTAAATGAAAATTTTTCTTCAATAGTTTTTGTCTAAACCTTATTATATAATAACATAATTTGGGATTAAGAACTAAATAGTGATTTGCCCAACATCATACAGTTTTTACTTTTGCACTATATTTTTCAATCATAGAAAATATTCCTTTATAATGACCAGAGAGATTTTTTTTTTTTACTTATATTGTGATTTTTATTACTTTTACAAAGTTTCGCTTGAAGTTGTTGGTCAAATTAATTCATGTCTGGTGGGATAGTAGCAAAAACACCTTTATAGATGCCTACTCAATGAGCCACTCACTTCCTTGCTGACTTGATTTTTTCTTATCTGATGCTGCTACTATTTTTTTCTTTTGCCCCTTTCTCTGTTGCTACTGAGCCTGACCACCTTACCTAAGACCCAAACTATTACCAGTGCTCAAAGACTTACGGTTCCTTTTTTTTAAGTTTCTAGCCACTAGGTAGTAGGGTTCCATGGTCCCACAACTATAGGAAAAGGAAACCAAACCAATATAAACTTCTAAATTGGTTAATAATTTATATATCTCTTAAGCATGGTACTAAAATTCACTTAAATTATGAGTTAAATAAATTTCTGTGGACTTAACTGGGAAATGAACTACAGTTAATAACATTGGCCCAATGAGAAACTGCTTCAAACAATTAATTTATAAACTATCTTGGAAATTTTGTTTTTAACAGACTATTTGAAGTCAGATTCTGGTTTTGAGCCTCCTTTTGCCTTTGTTTTGTATGACATATATTTAATGTGTATCGTATGTAATGTATATGTAGATAGATAATGGCAAAAGCCAGTGCCTTAACAAAGCATAGCAATTATATATTAACTAGAGGCTCAGTGCACAAGTTTGTGCACAGGTGGGATCTGGTTGGCCTGCCTTGATTGTGGTCGATCAGTCCAGGCCAGCCAGGGGGAGGGGCTGTCAGCAGTTGGCTGGCTAGCCCCATCCCCTGGTCAAACTCCTGGTTGAACTCCCAGTCGAATCCCGGTCAAGGGGACAATATATATTAGACTTTTATTATATAGGATAAATATATATTTATTAATGAAGGTCACAGTTTTAAATAATTTAGAGATCATGTAAGAATGATACTGGAATCCTGCTTGCCCAAGAAATTGACACATTTGTTTTATCTGTGGCAATATAAATACATTTTCTGAAAGCCAACTCAAAATAAAAGATTTATCCAACCAACAGTGATTAGATTTGATATTGCAAATGTGAACTGACTTCTCAGTATCAGAGGTACAGGTTTTTCCTTCCTCCAGTTAAACATATATCTGTTTACACACACATATAAATAATATCCTGAATAATATATTCTGAAGTGAATCTCTTGTCATTTTAGTTTAGTTAATGCCCTCATAAAGGAAAGAAAAACTAATGAATCTGCTCAAGGCAAGTAAAATTGTTTTTTACATACAGTACTAATAGCTTTACTTTGTATTTCACATGATTTCTTTAGTCTAAACATTTTGTCATTGTGTTTGCCTTTTTGCGTGTATATAAAATGTTTATGGTTTTCTTATTTTTGCTCATTATGGGTCCCTCACCCCCACTCATACCAGAGCCTTTGAAAGAAGTCATGTCTACATCCAAAAATATTAGTTCCTTTCCTATGTCCAGAGGGTTATAGGTAACAGTGTTGGAGAATTCTATAGGTATAGGTAGCTATTGCCATAATAACATCAATAAAGATGCTTTTGTACTTTAATGTTTTTCTTTTGCTAATTTTTTTTCTTTTTCTTTTTTGGTCCCATGGTTCTTGTTATCTTTATGAACTCAGGGTCCAATGTGTCAACTAAAATACACATGGACTTTACTAGGTGGACTTAATTGCCACTAGCCAATTGGCTTGTTTGTCCAGGTCAATAAAGTGATAAATCCTTATTCAATAATGTGTGTCTTATATGAAACACACATACACACACACACACACACACACACACATGTCTTATGCTAAGTATTAAAATGAAATGTCCAGGAGTCAAATCCTCAGTGGTTCTATAGTCCACACAAATTCTTATGCATTAAGTGCACATGTGACATATTTTGCTCTTTCAGACATTTTCTTAGGCACATACTTGTGACTTTAAATCACTGGAGTATCGATATCTGAATGTTCAATGTCTATAATATCTGTAAGCTCATGTCCACAATTCTTAACTTCACTGGAATTTTAACAATATGCATTATGTATATTTTATTTTACGTTTAAGATATTTTTATTGATTTCAGAGAGGAAGAAAGAGGGAGAGAGGCGAAACTTCAATGATGAAAGAGAATCCATTGATCAACTGCCTCCTACATGCTCCCTTCTGGGAATCAAACCCACAACTCTGGCATGAATCCTGATTGGGAATCAAATCATGATCTCCTGGTTCATAAGTCAGTGCTCAACCACTGAGTCACACTGGCCGGGCCCTTATATATATTTTACATTTGAAGTTATTACACCTCTGGCCAGTTAACTCAGTTGGTTAGAGTGTAATATGCCAAGGTTGTGGGTTTGATCCATGGTCAAGGAACATAGAAGCAGCAGCAAATGGATGCATAAATAAGTGGAACAACAAGTCAATGTTTCTTCTCCCTTTCATTTTCTGTCTCTCTTAAATCAATAAATTTTTTTTACAAAATAAGTTATTACAGGCTATAGGTTGCTTTCACTAGTACTGATAACACATTCTTCTACATTTATATTTTCAAAATTGAAAATAAAGGTGGAAATAAGATCTTCCTTCAATGCATTGGGTATGTTGTATTTTAGAGCTCATATGGGCAAAAGTGTTGGGATAGTGGGAGACTGCCCAACGGGAAGGAATATTTTATCACTGTCATTGTTTACCTTGATCCTGAAAATAAAAAGCAAGTTACTTTTCTTAACTTCTAGTGTTTTTAAAATCTCTACAAACACTGCTCCCTTATTGCCTTTACCAGCCACATAATGGAATAGGGTTTAATTTTTATAATGACCTTCATGTTAACCCCAAGAATACTCCAACATGGAAGTAATTAGAACAAGATAAATGATAGAAAGCTCAGAAAAACTAGATGTCATAATATTGGCTTTTGATATCCTACATAGATCTTATTTGCCTCTTTAAATATGTTTTTTAGGAATTTCCACAATGAATTAAGAGAACTGCCACTCTCAGTGGTAGAGCGTCGGCCTGCGGACTGAGGGGTCCCAGGTTCGATTCCGGTCAAGGGCATGTACCTGAGTTGCGGGCACGTCCCCAGTAGGGGGTGTGCAAGAGGCAGCTAGTCGATGTTTCTCTCTCATCGACATTTCTAGCTCTCTATATCTCTCCCTTCCTCTCTGTAAAAAATCAATAAAATATATTAAAAAAAGAGAGAACTGCCACTATTTGAAATGCTAGTAGTGTAACTTAAACCCAAATATATTGACTTAGACTTAGGCATTAGATTTTTCTGGTAAATTATTATACACAGCTCTACTTAGTTATATCCATAGTTCTTTAAAAGAAAAATACAACAATCTCACATACTTTGTTATAATGAGCAAGATCCTTATATTCCCAAGGAACAAAACCATTCACAACAAAAGAGTAGAAAACATTTAAAAATGCATATTTATGTTTGTTGGAAATTTAAAGCTATTACTAGTTAATACTTGTGTAATTAAGGTAGAACAAAAGGAAAAAAAGAAC